AATATGGAAATATATTGAAACAAATGACGAAAATTGTGAATACAATATCTTAATAAAAGCTTTAGTAACAACTACTACTGATCATATATGGAACGACTTTGAAAAGGAATATCTCTATTGCTTCGTTCATACCTAAAGTGAAACTTGAAAAAAATGAATAATAAATTATACTTTGTCTTGTTAATGTTTATTCCGTAGTCGTTTCGAGTCTAGTTCTATATAATTAATGAAATCGTGAAAAGCCGGCTTATAGAACATTCAAGTATTACCCAGACGCACCTTGAATAGAAATGTGTATCGTATCATAAGAAATTACGTTTACAAATGAAAATATTCAGACGCTCTTTGTAATTTCAAATTTTTTTATTACCATTCGTTATTAACACAAGCCAAATACAGAGTGATCAAAATTTGATCTAGATGACGGTCGATTAATTTAAAAACAAAGCTGCGTTTTTTTAATTTTCAACGAACTGGRAAACATTATTTCTACGAGTCCGAATACTTCCAGCCAAACCCAAGAACAAACTTGGTTTCGATTTTTTTGTTATATTTTATTGRCCTTGTTATACAGGGTGTTAGCAAAATGCGTTAGAAAATTTTTAAAGGTAATTCTACAGGCTAAAATAATAGAAGTAAGTCATGTAGCAAAAATTCTAAATCGGGATTTTTTACGATTTCATCAAACTTCTTTTTTTTCATTTAATTTTTTATCTATTCTGGACCCWAATAGGGTCGTTGCATTTATTGGTCTGAGATGCATCTTTAAGAAACAAAAGGTAGCTATGATAAAATAATTTTCGATCATAAAGCATGGAAAGTTTCTAATGGATATAGAATTTTTTATCGAATCGGAACAAATAATTGTAAAGAAATACGGTGTTACGCATCTTTTTATCGGGTTCAATCAATCCCTTAAAATATTGTCAGTAATATTAATACATTGATTTTGTAACAATTTAAGTCATTAAAAAGCTTACCTTTTTTTTATACCTTAAAAAGTGTTTAAAAAAAAATTTGAAAAGTTAACTTTTTTAGTTTAAATATAAATTGAAACACATGCCCTTTAAAAACAAAAGAAAATAATTATGAAAGCTAATGAAACTAGCGACTTTCTTAGCTTAAATCAGACAATTGTAGAGTAATTTTACATTTCTATTTCGTGATTTTACAGTGTAATTTCTGGCAGTTAGTTAATATTAACGATTGTAATTAACTAAGCTGCTTAAAATGGATTAAATCAAGTGCATACAGTTCGTTATGAGAACGTAGCTTGAATTAATCCTTTTTTCTTCGCAGTTTTATTAATTTGTTAAAATATTGCAACTTCGAGAAAACCATTTCGCAGCAGCCACTTGAGCACACAGCAATGAAACCAATAACTAGCTAGTCAAAAATATAAATCATGTTTTTGAAGGATTTTATGTCTCCACACGATTTAGAAGATATGTTTTATTTAATCTAATTGTGCAAAACAATGGCGTGTTGTGATAAGTTTGTCTCAATATCAGAAGTGATGTATCTGTTGTAAATGCGTCTCAAGGGTAATTAAAAATATGTTTTCATAAGATTTATACGGCAGACTTATTAACAGTTTTAAACTTGGCGTTAACTCTGACTGAAAACATCTAAATTGGAACTCGAAAGAAAATTAACCTGTATCAAGAGCAAAAACACTTTTTGAAGTTAGCTCAAAGAAAAGTTACTTCCGCTATGCGTAGGTCTACTTTTGCGTCACTAATCATGTCTCCTCAAACATATGCATTGCATGTTATTTTAGTTTACTCAATAATGCCTTGTTTTCCAGCAAAAGTTTTAAATGAGATAGGGAGCATACATAAAAAGACAAAACTTGCAATCACATTTTCCAATATTAACTTTAGTATTAGATTTTAATAACATCTCATCCATTTTGCATTTGAATTTTTTAAAGCATAAAATTAAAATGTATATATAGGGTGTTTGTTGAATGTGGGCGTAAAATTTAACGAATTATCCCTCGGATTCATCGAAGAAAATTTTGATATTAAAGGTTTTTTGAAAAGTCACGTTGTTTAGAAAATACGTGGCGGATTAAACTAAAAGAAAAGTAAACGCACCTAACTGAATTATTGCATACCAGCTGAGCCTATTAATTTTTCAACCACACTTTTAGACTAGTAGCTTTACATATTTTATGTAATTTTCCGTAACGAAAAGTTGATATTTTTAAGTGATCTGCATATAGTTTAGAGAATATCTCGTAAAATTCTAAAGGACACAGCTTCTCTGAACCACTGCAAAAATATTATAAGCAGTATGCAGGCCGTGTTGAAGTTGGCGCAATTCCTCCGAAAATGTTGTCGAAGTGTGGCGTTCTTGCAAAACTATGGTAGTAGCAAAAAAACATCTTAAATTGTGACATCGATATGCTATTTCCCTAATACTTTTGTAATCGAAACATGGAAAATAGAATTAAAGAGAGAAAAGAACCCAAGTGCAGATTCAAAGGTTTAAAGCATGAAAAATACAATGTAAACGCTTTGCTTGTAGCTAACCGGTTTTGATCAGTGCTGGTATCTGAAGTTCAGTTTTTAAAGTTAAAGGTGTGGCAAGACTAATTATGGTTTTCTTACTTGCTTTATGCACCAACTTTGCAAATTTGTCCGTTTTTGAGTGCATGTTTATGAGTCCCATGAGCTTTATTCTAAACTTACTACTTAATATCTAGTTTGTAACTAAAAAGTTATAGTTAATTTCATTAAAGTTTAAATGTCACTGAAAGAACAAAAGTTGCATAAAACCGATTGTAAATAGCCAAATATGTGAGCTGAAAACTACTACGATTGTGGGTCTCAGTTGTCCCAATGTAAAACAGAATAATACAACATTATTATTAAGCATTATTTATGAACGTTAAACTCGAACTTTTAGAAATTTATCGACTTTCCTATGTTGATTGCGTTCAAGAAAGTTGGACTTTGAGTTGTTGAGAACGTTGGCCAATCAAAAATAGAAGTTATTTACATTTTTACCTTCATGTTGTTAGAAACAAATATGAGGTATTTGCTTTTTCGCAAAATCTGAAAATGTTGAATGTGTCACATGCAAGCATACAAAACAGATGCATTCTTTAAATTTTGGTCTAAAATTGAAACATCTTACCGTTATTAAGCAGTAAGTTGACACATATTTTATTTTTGATATAATAGCAAATTTAATTACATTCAGACGACATAAAGCCATTAAACAATTAATGGCTTTACATTTATCATTTATTACATATAGTAAAAATAATTAGATATACGAAATATATCTTCTCTTATGCAGATAATAATAGTTTCAAACAATTGTACAAATAAGCATGTTACAAAGAGAACCCCGGGTGCAAAGAATAATTCCTAAAAACTAGCATGGATAAAAGTGGGTTTAGGCTAGAAGACTAGATTACTTTAATCCAAATAAAACGGCAACAAACACAACGTATTAAAAGTCAAAACAATATATAAGAAGGCAAGTTTTTCCACAAACACCTTTAATAAGACCCTGAGTAGCAACAGAAAATGACAGAAAAAATGTTATACGGACTTCGACAAAATGCAAGTACTCACAATCCTCCATGTGATACATGAGCAGAAATTGAAAATATTTGGAAACTATCAATAAAGAATTAACCGACGAAAAATAATTAATAATAAGCTTGCTGACAAAATGATGCCACAGTTTATTCGTACCTGTTGAAGAAAAAACATCAAGAAACAATTTAAATTTTATACACTTTGTTAGTGTTAGATTGTAGATTCTACTATTTTCGAATGGCCAAATAAAATTTGCCGGTGCATAACAGCAAAACATGCAATTTAGTAAATCAACCAGAATTTAAATATACCATCTGGACGGAATATATACGGAGGATAAATTAATCAAAATATAGTGTTGAAACCGAACAATGGGTAACTCAAAAATATGACTTAATCATCAGATTAGAAAAGAGTAATTACTTGAATTACAGAATAAACTTTCAAACTCACCATTAAAGAGGAGGGTTAAAAAGGACTGGAAAATGAAGACAACAAAAGATTTCGTCGTAAATCCAAAAACTTTTTAAATTACCAGAAATAACAGAAAAAAATGCATTTCGAATTACTTTGTATTATGAAAAGGTTAAGTGATGATATTGTTAATGAACGACAAAGAAATTTTCGCTATTAGTTTAGAGCACAACTGGACTCATAGGGAGCCAACAGGAACCACAAAATGTCTGGAGCGGCGTATGATTTTGTTTGACTTGAAAGTTCATGTGCAAGATCACGTTAAAATAGCCTTTATTCCACGTAGCTTTATAAATGTTACATATGTTGATAGGAATGTCTGGCCAACGACTGCACTGAAGCTTCCAAAATTTAAATTTTTAGATATTCACGTTTGGTAAGAACTGGAAAATGGAATAGAAAAGAAAAAAACAATTCCATGATGCTGGCCATTAATAAACTAAGCAGGTATCATTTAAGCAGAAAAGTAAAGAAATTGCTAAAAATAAAAATGATTTGAATAGAATTCCTACTCATCAAATAATTCCGGTATTTTCCTATAAACTTAAGTAAAAATTATGAGATTTCTTTATTACTAGAAGAATTGCATTAACGCGAATCATCGAGAGTTAGCCAACACAACAAGACTCCAATCACATTTACTCATTTATTATTAAATATTTTAATAACACATTTATTTCATTGGGATTGTCTCAAACTCTTCAGATACTTGCTAGTACGACTAATAGACAACTTGAAATTGAATTTAGCAATTTTCAATTAAAAGTGCATAAAAAAGTTCGCTTACAGCATGTTAAACCCGAACGTGATTGGATCTGAAAGACGTTTGAAAAAATTAATATTCTCGAGAATCCTACACAGAAAGAGCGTGTATACTTTAAATGTACTACGTAGGTGTACTAGCTGTTATAATAACCCATTAACTAGCCTAAAATCTAAATCGCTCTCTCCTATTGGCGAAGAGGCGGATCTCTGTATCCTGCTGCTCACGGTTAAATAGTCCTCGACACTGCTAACGCGTCCTGTACCGTGCTCTTCTTCATTGCACTTCGATCTTCCAGTGCCAACAGGTGTACAGCCAGTTCAACCTCAGCGCTCAGCAACGCTCCAAGAAATGGTAAGTTTTGAACCATATTATGAATAAAATATTACTCGCCTGTTTTTTGTTTCATAACATATAAAAATACGAAACAGTAATTATATAAATAGTAAATTTCTTTTGCAAAATTGAATTCAAATAATGTAAACATCTATGAAATTATTTCAGGAAACATTGTTCTTAAATGTATGTCTGTTAAAGGAAAGTATTTTTCATAATCCTGGCAACTATGACACACCTGTGTTTAGGTATTTTAATATTTCAATATAGTTTAGTTGTGGTTATTTATACTTTAGTCGCTGGTTTCTAAATATTTTTACTAAAAAAACGTTTTAAGACTATTTAACAAATCTAGTCGCAGGTGTTGTACTAACCATTTTTAATGGTTTTAAATTTGCATGAAAATATAATATTTTTGCACTTTAGTAACAGTCACACTAAACTAACTTTTTTTTAAATATGTTATAATGCTCGTAAATAATATGTGGTAAAGTTTGGAATTTTAAATATTTTTTCTATACACGATTGAATTTAAATATTTGTTTTTGAAGGTTAAAAAAAATAAGTCTGAATATATTTGTTTAAAAACTGCATTCATACTCAAATTTGCCACTCCATTGACTACACTGATTCAGCATCATGCTAATGCAGTATTGCCAGTTTTGCCGTAAATCTATTATGTTTACTTTTACACAGTGACTCATAAGTTTGGACTCCTCAAAATATCTTAAAAATACCATATTTTGGAAAAAAATTGAACACTACATCCAAATGTTATCGGATTTTGCTAATGCATTCCCCACTGTTCACATTTTTAGCATCTTTTGTGAACTGGAAAAAACAAGAAGTTTGAACTATTTGAAAACGTTAGGTGAAATGAAATTTGCAATAATACTGAACTTTCTTATAATACATCATAGCAGTCAATGTAAAACTCAAGTAATTGACATAATATATTTTTAAATAAAATTTGTTAATGAAAACATCTTCTTCGTCATCGCAAAAAGATCTGAAATTTTGTTGCGTTTTTTTTAAAGAAATCCAGAGTGCGAAAACACATTTAAAGCTCAGGCAACAAAACTGCATATATAAATATTAATAGTGAGTATTTCGAATTCCTTCGTTGCTTGCATTAAAATGAAACTGAAGAAAAATAAACTGAAAAATGAATTAAGAGTCTTAAACTCAATTAAACGTATTAAAACTTATAATTGATAAAACTTGCTAATTAATGAAAGGCGCATTAAACCTAAATGAGTTTGTCAATATCATTAGCAGGGAATTTCCAGGCATAAGAATTGTCCAATTCTAATAAATGAAAAACGAGAGTCTAGATGATAACATTTTTCCAAAATCATGAATCAAGTGTTTAAATGTAGGTTGTACCTACTTTAAAAAGTTTTAGTAGTTATTTTTAGTTATTGATCCATATCTCACAGTTTCTTTTATAAAATGACCATATGTGCAAAATTTGGGCTAAATAGAAATAATTAAGAAACATTTAGGCATATGGTATTCAAAGGTATTATACAGTAAATGGAAATTATTATTCTCATATAATAATCGGATTTTCAAAATCATACAACACTGTGGGACAAAGTTAGCTTTCTTATATCCAATTATACCAGTTAACATATCATATACATTGTATAGAAAATACGTAAGTTTTCAAAGATAATATTAGAGCATTGCTAACACCCCTGAATATCTAAAGTCATTCCAGGACATTATCTTCTAACTAAACTAACTGATATAATGGAACTAATATTCAAACTGACTAATCTCAAAATTCGATATGAACGTCCTGAATTCGCTCTTGCTTCAGAAAGACAAATTTACATCGAGTATTAACTGTCTCAATTACGGTGCAATAGGTGGTCAAATTACAAATTCTATTGAAAGTATAATGAACGAAATTTATGTGTATGCGTAGATAGCACATCATATGAATTATGACATAAAAAACGATCATCAAAAAAACGTGTTGTCGATCAACAGTTTTAAAAGGAAATAAAATATTATAGTTTGTTTTCTTTTCCAGACGAAATTTAGTTAAACTTATACACAAGTCAAAATATTTTTGTATACTCACATGAACAGTTTACATTGTATAAATGAAAATTTTATATTAGTCAATATTGCGGATTCTCTGTTTGGAAGTCATTGATTTAGTCGACATTTTTGGCAAAACCGCGCCAGTTTTCACTTCCAAAATAGATATTATTTATTTTTTTTATTGGTTTGGATCAAATGCAATTGTAACAAATTGGCCGGATAATATGCTAAGAAATTGGATAACTATTTAAATTTTAAAACTTTCTGAACATTCGAGTTCTTCTCCGTGCTTATTTAAATTTAAATCGCATTCCGTATTGATAAACCCTACGTAAATATATTTTCAAACAAACTGTTTGTTTGACATATTTTATATTAAGGCTTGACAAATTGCACTGCACTTTAAAAATAACCAGTAATTTTAATTGGTGTTTCGTTTCCTCCATTTGAAATTAAATGTATTTTTATTCCATTATTTATTTATTTTTCCTTAAGCCCCATAATGCAGATGCTAAAATGAATTTGAGAAAATTGTACAAATTGTTCCATCTCAAATAGTAAAGAGTCAAGCTTAATAAGAAGTAAAATTAAATTCGGAATTTCGTAAAGTAAGTTGGTCGTTGGTCTGCCCCAATTATTTATTAGTTAATTATGAATTAAAGATTACCATTATTAGTATTGTTGATTTGTTTGAAACGGACCATTTACAACAACGAGATAAATGGTCTTCAAACTTCTGAAATTCTATTCATTATACTCAGCGAACAAAAGAACCACGTATTTCTGGTTGTACTTGCTATACATTAAAAGCGAGGCACTAAATCTCCAAATTCGTGCAGTAATACTGCTGATATTTCCTAAAAACCAGTAATTTATTAATGGCGTCTTTCACGTTGGGTGCAAATTTTTGCCATAATTTGTGGTGTTGCTGTTTTATAACTTTCACAAAAACCATGCCGATTGAATTAACAAGCAAGTATTAGCTATATCAGCACTTATCGAAAACTGTTTTCCCGCTTGTCTGTGATTAATCCTCTTAGCGATTCAACCATAAAAAGTCAAGAGGATGCAATAACATATTATGGCTCATAACAATGATGAAAAATAATTGGAACGTGTTCAACACGTGTACATTTGCGTGAAATAGTTTTGTGTCGTTCAACCCTTCTGGGCTAAACTTTTAAACCTAATATTAAGTTTTAACCTACGACAGTTTTGAATTGTTTCGATATAGCATGAGTTACAAGGAAGCGAACCATTAATAATTAATTTAGTTAATTTGATTCAGAAGCCCGGAAATATGGAAACGTTTGCTTGAAAGGAAAACTTTACTTAAATGTTTTCACATGTTTTCTCCAGCTGTCTAAACAAAGTGCTTAATTGGCGGAAAACTATTAAATCTGATAACATTTATTAAAAATGAGAAAATTAAATATAATATTCTCATAGAAATTGTGGGAATAAGGGCATAACGAGTAGCGGATAAATGATAAATGATTGATGACCAAAATTTGTCTTCAATAGTTTCGGTTAAATTAAAATCTTGAGTCAGCTCCAGGTAAAAACTTCAAGGTGTTTTGTAATAACGATAGAAATACAACTTGCCTATTTTTCATAAATTGATTTTTAATTTTTATAAATTTAATTTAATTTAATTTTCATTCGTAGTCGAAAGTTTAAATCGCTGCTCGGTAAACTAGAAAGTCGGGTGAAAATTCGATATTGACAAAAAGCCGATACTATTCAACTAATGAATAACGGAAAATATGTTTGGGTACATTGTTTTTATGTATTCCTACCCTGAAATTTTAACCTTGCACCTGATGTTTCGCTTGGATCTACGGCAAACATTTTCAATGACGGGGTTGATTCTTAATCACGCGTTCTGATATTTTCTTCTGACTTTTTAAAAATTGTCATTCTGCACTGATGTTGATCTTCTGATTTTACATATGTTTATTATAATTTCTATTAATTGATATTAATGTCAATTGAAAATTTTTAGAAATTAATGCTCAAGAATAAGCACTGAAAGTGAAATATTCAATTTTGCAGCAGGCAAACTTTACTAGATTGTTTGACCTCTGCGTTGAGAATGTTAGTAACTTATTTTTTTAACTAAAAACAATTTCTATATAATGATTATGCTGAAAATTACATCAGCTCAAAACAAATTCATACCACAATTCAATACAAATCCAGAACTAGACAATTATTAAACGCAACTAATGTTAATTAATTTTGTTTGGAAAATTTGCTTTTCAAGGTTTCAGATTTGTGCTTTGTGAAGCTTCACTTGTAGATTCTCTTAACACTAACGTTTGTATTTTTTTATTTCTTTTCTATTATAGTGAAATTACTAACGCGGGCCATTGCTTCAAGCTTGTTAGCAACGTTCTCGTAAAACAAAATACATATTTAAAGAGTAATTAATAAAAAGCACTGGAACTCGGAACATAAACTTTGTTTGTTATGAGAATATGAGATGCCTGTATTTTATACATATATTGGCGCTAAGCTCTAAGGGTTCCTGTAGGTAGTGCAATAAATATTTCTTTAGAAAATTTATCAAAACAGCTTAACAACCAAACCTAAATGTAACAACAGTGCGACTTTCGAATTAAATTTTTTAGATTTGTCTTTCTTAGCGTACATTCTTGCTTTGCCAATACAAATTTGCTAAGACAAAAGGTGGAATCTGAACACATTTGAAAAATGGAAAATTGAGCCAGTCTAGTTCATGTTACGGATGAAAACTTTCTTCATTATCACTCTTCAATATTGTTTTTGATTTTTTTTAATATGTTTGTCACATAATGAACTGGAGAAATTTAACAATTTTTATGTAGGAAAGTTTAGACGAAAATCCTAATTTAAGTGCTTTTTTTGCTAATAATGTGCCAATAATTAAGAGCACATTTGAAACTCCGATTTTCAGTTTTAAATATTATAATATAGTCTTAATTAAATTAAAAATAA